TGTGAAAATTAATTGTTTTTATATGACGTCGTAGTTAGTATAGATATACTGCTTCTTATGCTTGCTATAATTGCACTCGGATGAATTTATGTGAGGACTTTCTACCTCTGAATATCCCCGTAAATAACGTGGCATGTCCTTCTTTCTGCTGGAAATGAGTGAGGATTGTGCTAACCAGAAGATTTGACCATGTACGTAGTTTAGTGAATTGTTTAAGGTCAAGCCCATCTCTGTGCTGATATTACCTCTAAATGAAAACTAATAATAAGACAAGGTAGGCTATGACCTTGTGCTAAAACACGGAACTTAATAAATAATAGGAATGAATAGACTACGCAATAGGACGAGTGAAATTTAAAGTTCCAAGCTTATGGAGGGGAATGCTACACAGCACCTATCTCGGGTAGTGGGGAAGAATATTGGAACAAAAATGCCCAAATTCTTGCTTTTTACTGTCTATAGTTGTTGTCCATAGTTAACCAAAACGAACGGCCCAGCCANAGCCAGGAGTCGCAAATATATATGTTCAACCAGCTAAGTCAGTGGGCAACCTCACCAAATCTAGTCAATACGAGGAGCGATAAAATACGGTCCAAGACGTGCTTCCTTTCAACCAATGTCATTTGCCTTTAATACTTTTCTCAATGGACTTGGGAAGTTATTGATCGACATCGCCTTTGTCGTACAAGTATGGCACATCATGAGTATGCAGCTGCTATATCTTCTCAACACATTATGCACCCAAAAGCGTTGAGCTATGCTTCTTTCAAACATTATTAAGAGTGGGGGGAGGGGGGGGGGGTTGAGGAGGGACAAGTATTGACTGAAGTTTAGCTTGGGTTGGTAAGATGCTTGAATTCTGTCGCCCACTTGATTAGTCAGTCCCTACCAGCGTGGGCATGCACCGCTCACACATAGTCAATTTCGACTCTGTGAATATAAGCAAATATTTTCAAGAAAAACGTTGGCTAAATCTAAGGTGATTTTATGCAACAAAGTGCAGAGTATCAATACGAAGTTTATAAAAAAGGCTTAATTTATAATTGGAACTAACAAGTGTCCAAATTACAAATTTCTGCTCATATCATCTTGGTTTATGAAAATTAATTTTGCTTTGGAAAATGTTATACATATTTCGCTGTGCAAATCGTAGTCTTATTCTACCAAAAACCGATAAGTTTCAATCAGTCGAACTAAATACATGTAATAGTTTAAAATGGAATATTTTGTCCTTTAATTCAATACATAGTTAATCTATTTTCCATTGCAGCGGCGTTGGTAGTGTGCCTTTATGTATTTTTAAATTAAAAAGCTACGAGGTAATCAAAAATGACACCCTAATATATGCTGAAAGCTTTACTCAGTAATTCAAAATTAAAAACATTGTCAAAAAGAATAATTTTAAGCACTGCATCATCTTCTTTACTCACCAATTCTTCCGCAGTTTACATGACGTCGGATCGATATTTTCAAGGACATTTAGTACGTGACCTTGATGATCAATCAGTTGACTACAAATGTGCCGAATGCACTCGAAAATGCGATAGCACATTTCAACCCTCCAAGTTCAAATTAAACACATCGAAGAAACGAAATTGATAAATGCCTTTCCGACAAAATAACGCCACGACGAAACAATTGAGAATAGTCAAATGATCAAGGAATGCAGATAGAAAGCAAAATTCAGCCAATTAGGAGAACCCTGCTCTATCAGTTTTCACGAGTGCATTAGTTCACATCAACACTTGTCTGTCGTATAAAATATCCCAATGATGTGGTTTTGTTCGATTTGTTTATAATATATGGGTTTTGGTGATTAATGTATAATTTCTATTTCATGCAACCTGTTTTAGCGAAGAGTTTATTTCATTGAAATTTCACACGTTAGGAATTCCCTGAGTTGAGGCTGATGCTGTATTATTCAGCATCTGAATCTCAATAACCTGCTTGTTTACTTGCCAATCGTTTTAGAATTTGAATTTCGATAGTATTTAATTAATGCATCCTCTTCCTATTCAACATTTGTCCATGAATTTAGACATGTCCGCTTTCACAGAGCTATAATTAAATTAATTAATTTTTACTTGCTAGTACAATTTTCTCACTCCCACGAAATTCGGCACGAATACTACCTCCAAGGTGTTCGAAAGCTAATATGAAAATTATTTTCTGCGGATTATTACACTTTTCCACGGATGATATTTATTTATATCAAATGGCATGCGTCTTGATGGTTACCATTAGCCCTTTAGTTGACTTCAGGCTTCACAGAGGGGAAGGAACATCAGGTTTAAAAAAGTCGAGAGGGGGTAGGGAACAGAAGAGTGTTTCAAAGATTTAAGGGACAAACACAAAGGTAGAAAAAGGTGAGGTGAGTACTGTGGAAATAGTCGAATATGGCATAGAGTGAGGTGATGGTAGTTTGAAGTGAGAAGTCAACTGCTGGTTGATAGATTTTTTTGCCGTATGAATATACGTTGACCAGGGTGCATCACGTGGAGGTAAGTCTATCGCACACCCCCCCCCCCGGATGATATAGTTGCCCATATAGTGTCCATTTCAGACTTAGATTAATTGCTGTCATTCCTCAAAGTAAAATATGCTTATACCAAGTAAGCAATCGGGGATGAATGATGGCCAGTTGCCTTCAATCGGGATTTCTCCAGTTACGCATATTCTCATTTCCAGATTTTCCTGAAACATTACTTTGCCATTTTCAAAATGGCGGTCAGATTGATTTCAAAGTCAATAAATTATACATTGTCAATTTTCGATGACAGTTTGTGAAATAGAGCAAAAGCCCACTGAGACAAGATTATTTCACACATAGGTAGTGGGAAAATGAAGCATTGTGTGAGAATTTTCTTGTTTGATTCTGGGCACTCCTTGAACGATATTTATATTTTAAAAAGGGGATACACGATAGACTTACCTCCCCGTGGTGCATCCTGGGCAATGTATACTCATACGGCAAAAAAGTCCATTATTCGGCAGTTGACTTCTGACTTCAAACTACCATGACACCACTATTTGTCATATTCCACCACTTCCACAATACTCATCTCACCTTTTCTCTGCCTATGTGACTATCTTTCGCTTTACAACTATGAATCACTCTTCTTTCTCCCCATTCCTCTCGAATTTTTCTCACTATATTGTTCCCTCCCCCCTCTGTGAATTCCGTAGTCAGCTAAAGGGCTAATGATGACTATCAATTTGCCTGCCATTTGAAATAAATAAATATTGGATAAATGCCATAGTTTATTGGTCTATTTCTACAATGCTTGATTTAATTTTACACTGCACGTTTAATCCAATGATGTGCTAGCGATGTGAAAATTAATTGTTTTTATATGACGTCGTAGTTAGTATAGATATACTGCTTCTTATGCTTGCTATAATTGCACTCGGATGAATTTATGTGAGGACTTTCTACCTCTGAATATCCCCGTAAATAACGNTGCTAAAACACGGAACTTAATAAATAATAGGAATGAATAGACTACGCAATAGGACGAGTGAAATTTAAAGTTCCAAGCTTATGGAGGGGAATGCTACACAGCACCTATCTCGGGTAGTGGGGAAGAATATTGGAACAAAAATGCCCAAATTCTTGCTTTTTACTGTCTATAGTTGTTGTCCATAGTTAACCAAAACGAACGGCCCAGCCACTCACTTAATTACTTTAATAACCATCTAAATGGTTGCCGAAATAGTTCCAAATTTTTAAATTTGTCTTTGATTAGGTAGTAAAATAATAATAAAAGGTGCAATGACACCTTGAATTAAAGGAAAATTTATGNTTAGATTAATTGCTGTCATTCCTCAAAGTAAAATATGCTTATACCAAGTAAGCAATCGGGGATGAATGATGGCCAGTTGCCTTCAATCGGGATTTCTCCAGTTACGCATATTCTCATTTCCAGATTTTCCTGAAACATTACTTTGCCATTTTCAAAATGGCGGTCAGATTGATTTCAAAGTCAATAAATTATACATTGTCAATTTTCGATGACAGTTTGTGAAATAGAGCAAAAGCCCACTGAGACAAGATTATTTCACACATAGGTAGTGGGAAAATGAAGCATTGTGTGAGAATTTTCTTGTTTGATTCTGGGCACTCCTTGAACGATATTTATATTTTAAAAAGGGGATACACGATAGACTTACCTCCCCGTGGTGCATCCTGGGCAATGTATACTCATACGGCAAAAAAGTCCATTATTCGGCAGTTGACTTCTGACTTCAAACTACCATGACACCACTATTTGTCATATTCCACCACTTCCACAATACTCATCTCACCTTTTCTCTGCCTATGTGACTATCTTTCGCTTTACAACTATGAATCACTCTTCTTTCTCCCCATTCCTCTCGAATTTTTCTCACTATATTGTTCCCTCCCCCCTCTGTGAATTCCGTAGTCAGCTAAAGGGCTAATGATGACTATCAATTTGCCTGCCATTTGAAATAAATAAATAAATATCTTAAAAAGAATAATTGCTACTTATTTTTACCAGTAGTAGTTAAAGCTCTCTTGTATCAAACACAATCTAGCAATATTCGCTTAAACTAGATTGCACGGCCTGTTTTTGCATTTTCTATTTTTACAATTACATGCATATTAACTAATCAATTATTCACATAGCATATCTTATTTCAGTATGTATTTTCCGGAAGATATGATTAAATTAGATTTCAGAAAATGCTAAATAGTTACTAACCTAAAACTTATTAAGTGAACTAGGAGTATGCTGATTTATTTAAGAAATCTGACAATGGCTGCACGTTTAAAAGATCCACTTAGTAATGCGGAATAACATTGCCACAGAGCTTCTTAACCATAAACTACTTATATTAAGTAACCAAGTTAGAGAAGGAGGACTTTGGAAGATGGATTAACGCATTATCCGACTCACATTTAGAAAGACCGAACTATGTAGCGCAGTACGTCTTGTATGACTCATCCATAATGGCCTACATTGTAGGCATGCTTAATCATGCTTCCTTTGACTCCCTCTGTTTTTCAGTTGGGCCGACACCAAGGTCAATTTACTGTCTGTGGAGCTCAAATCACTGGAACATCGGTTTGTGAGCACGTTTTTGGCGTTCTGAAGTTTCATGCTACGTTAACTGTCGTATCTCCGACCATATGCGTATATCCGGATGTCGTCACCCTTCAGAAACCGCTGGTATTATTTGAAACTATCCGGCTTAAAGTCAATGTAAGTTTTATACATACGTGGCTTCAAACTACGAGACAAAATGGAAATTATTGGTTGCCAACAGAGGTCAAAATACACCATGACGTATAAATATTGTAAAATAATGCGCTATGAAATACCTCATTTAACACTTTATTAAACCTTAGAATATCCAGAAAATATGGAACCTTTTTGCAATTAATTGATTTTAATGTGTGGTGGTAAAAGGTATAATTTCGGGATCAAATAGAACTTGCTGTCGATTTTGCACACCATGGAAACGATAAGTTATGCTTACATCACTGCCGAATGAGTCAGTTCAAGGAGAAGTTAATGAACGGCGCTTTCCATTGGTGGGAATGATTTCGACGAAACTTGGCACATAAAAGAAAGAAGATCAGGTATAGCATTTAAAGAAAACGTGAAAAAGTGCACATTACTTGTTTTTCCTATCAGAAGGTAAACAGCAAATTACCCCCCCCCTTTTGTATTATTTTTAGGTAGCGAATCCGTCGTCCAACTGCCCAATAAACTTCAAGTGGATTTCACCGAATCCGAGAGATGAATTGAATTTAAATGACGTTATGCAAGATATTATTATTTACCCAGAAAGTGGCAGACTATCTCCTCTTGAAACAAAACCTATAATGATCTCACTGACACCTAAAGTGCTAGGACAATTGGAGTGCGTACTAAATTGCATTCCGAACGCTTCTTCCAAACATGGAGCGCAACTAAAAGTTGTGGGGGAAATTAGCGTAAGAGTAACCACTATATCGCAATTAGAAATATGCTCACTTCAATTAAATATTATTGACCATACTTTCGTCTATTAATATCAATTTAGTCACCAAGTCTCGAACTTGAGAACGAGTGTATCGATTTCGGAATCCTATGCCCTAATCAAACAATAATGAAGACAACGTGTATCAGAAATCCTTCTTGCGCCCCATTAAAGTGGGTATCCAGTTTGAGTCAAGAGGTAAAAACTTACACAGACTTTAAATCCACACAAAGTGCAATTAGTCACCATTACTTCCCTGTTTGTTTTTTTTTTCAGACGGATTTTACCTTTAAACTGGAGCCAAGCAGTGGTTTGCTTAAACCGAAATGTCAACAGAAAATATCTATAACATTTCATTCACAATCGGCTGATCGATTTTATGACAATGTTAATTTCATGGTTGACAATGGTCCTATAAAGTAAGGCAGACGAAATTGGCATTAATGGAGTAATTTAGAGCACTTAAACTCATCGGAGAGGTCAAAGAATGCAGTATTTTTATGAATCCACAAGAAATGCAAATAGATGAGCTTTATGTGAATGATCCCTACACGTTCTACATTGAAGTACAAAACACTTCCGACGTTAAATCGAAGTTCAGTTGGCAAAAGGTAAGCATGAATGTAAATAGTCGCGAATCAACAGACACTAGGTTAATTAATTACATTTTCAGTCGTCCAAAAGGTGATTCAATTGGGGAAATTCGTCAGCTATCACGCACTTTTTCCTGTTCATATGTGCTTTAAGTAACGCGACTCCCTCAGAACAAACCTGATCAAATGTGCTCGTTGATAGGTTAAAGAATTAACCCTTTGATGCTCTTAGGACAGTACGGTCCTCTTTCAAAATAAGCTTCGTTAATACTAGACCCACAACAGAAGGCACTATTACCGTTTGAAACATGTTCAATACGTCCATGGCCTTTTCCTGACACCACCAAAACTCATCATGTCGGCAGCTCTCTGTTGTAAAACACGCTTGAGTACAATTTTGTGTATTTTTGCAAAAATTCTAGCGTTCTAGCGTTAAGTGGGGAAACCTCCAACGTTTAAATTAGTATTTACTAACTGAACTGCTTATTCGGTGACTGGTTGTTGCCATGGCAGTTCTGAAGTCATAAAATAAGCTCCATATCATATTCAGTTTCCATGAGGGCTTTAAAAAT